TTGAGTAATTTTATAATTATATTAAATATTAGGTTTTTTTTTTGGTAAAAATCATAGCACAAAACTTTAAAATAAGGTTTTTGGTTTTATATATAAAATTATTATAAATTTACTATAGTTTTCTACAACTTTTAAAAAAAGATGTTTAAAAAAAATTTACTATACACACATATATCTAAAATACTGTACAATTACACGAAATAACTTTGAACCGTAATCCCAAATGTACCATTAATTGGTCAGTAAAGTTTTTGAGCCAATTTAATCTGTTATTATATAATAATCAAACCAATCCAACTTAAATTAAATCAGTGTGATTCGATAGGATTAATCAATTTTTAACACTATTAAATATATGAGATAATGTAAAAAAATTTATTATCAAGTAGAAAATATAATTATAAAATATATTAACATCCAAATAAATAGAACCAAGCACAAATTATAAATAAGTTCTTATACTCCTTTATAATTGTAAAAATTGAAAAGATTTGGAAATTCTTTTAGGCTATATCACTCGAGGCACTAAAAACAATAACAGATGATTTCAAACTTCAAGCATAGTATAGTACAAGTAATTTTTAAAAGTTAAAACTAGCATTTTTTTAATGCACCAATAATTCAATCTCGTCTTTTAAACTTTGTTAAAAGTGAATAAAATTTAATATGAATATCACTAGGATTAAATAGAATCATTTATAATCAAAATTTAAAACTCCTCAACCAAATATCCAAGAATAGTAGAATATCAAAACTAGTTTTATTATATAGTTTTAAGACTTCTAAAATGATATTTCTTTAAAACTTAGCTAGGAGAATCAAAATATCATTTTATGAACAAATTATAAATTTAGGGTTCTAAGAATAGAGTCACAAACCAGTTTTTAAGGGATAAAGTTGTAGGTGAATTAGAAATTTAAAATTAAGGTTAGTATGCACAATTAAGAAGGAAAAATAAATTAAGAAATATGAGGATATTTTGTTTTTATTTTTTTAATTAAGTTAATGGAATTATTATTTTGTAAAACAAGAAAAAGAAAATATAAAATACTACAAAAAATATATTATATTATTTAATTAAGTTATTTTGTAATTGAGTTTTATTTTGTAATCAGGCTATTTAAGTAGTTTGAAGATAAAACCACAAATCAAACCAATTACATCAGTTTAAAAATTTTATAATTCAAACCAACCTAATTTTATATTGATTTGGTTTGGTTTTTTATTAAATTAGATCAATTTAGGTCGGATCAATTAAATTGGATCGGATGTGAACACCTCTAGGTTTAATATTTGTTAAGATGTAAACACAATAATTGACAATCAACTATTTAGATCATATTCACACTATTCACATTTATTATAAATATTTTATACTTTAGAATATTCTCTTTGTAAAAACCTATATATAAGTTGTTGTACATATAATATTATTTAATAAAGTAATAAAGTAATAAACCTTTCTTTAAATATTTTTCTTTCTTTTCTATTTCTAACATAGTATCATTGCTATAAGCTCCTAGTTTTTTTTTTTTTTCTTCTATCATCACTAATTGGTTTTTGAGTTGGATTTTCAAATCCATTTCAGATTTGAAATTGTGTCATTGGGATCTCCTCCTGTAGATTAAATTATTTATTCTCAATTCTCAAGCCCTTTTTAAGGTATTTTGTTGAGTTATTAATTTGATCTTGGCATCTATTGTTTTATATTTTTAGAGATTTTTTTTAGTATTGTAAGTTCTACTGATTTTATGGTGAGTTTTAAAAGAACTATAACTCGTCTTGTTGTTGTTATAGTTGCCAAAGAAGTGATAAACCAACCTATTGTCAATCTTGAATCTCTAAAATAGGAGATATTAAGGGCATGTTTGGTATAGCGATTAAATTCAGTAGATAGTGAATAATGGGTAGTGGATAATGGATAATGGTAGTGGGTAACGGATGATAGTTAGTGGATAGTAAATAGCAGAAAATGGATAGTGGATAGTGGATAGTGGATAGTAGATAACGAATTTAATTAATATAACTGTTTGGTTGATAATAATTAATAGTTAGTATTTAAAATTAAATAATTGATAAGGATATATTTAAAAACAATTAAGTGTATTTTTTTTATATTTTTTATTATCAAAATTATTAATTTTATAATAATAATAATAAATAAATAGATAAATAAATAATAGTGTAAGTATATACTAATTTTTAATTTTAATAAAAAATTATATTAGTTTTAAATAAAGTACCAAAAAATTTTAGTTTTTCGATCTAATTAGCAAATTTTATTTATTAAGCTAATATATATTTCTATAATAAATTAATGTAAAAATAAAAATATAATAATTACTTGATATTATTAAAGACAAAAAATAAAGTTAAAACTAATTAAATAAATACTAATTAAAAACCTTGATAAAAAAATTAAAAAATTAAAAAGGATAAATCTGTTAATAAAATTAAAAAATTCTAATCCACTAGTAAATTGATACAAAAAGTTACCTTAGATAACTTTTTTAATCCATTGATTTCAAACGGCTTAATAAAAAGTTTTACCAAACATCTAATTTATAGTAGTTTTAAAATAAATAAATTTACTAAACATCTATTCTTAGTGGTTTGGGTAAAACCACTAACCATTATCTTTAAATTGTTATACCAAATGGCCCTAAATCTTTTTAATGCTGCTACTACCTTATTTGCTGCTCTATGTACTAAAACTTGGTATTTTTATTCTAGTTGTTGTAATCACATATCTTTAACTACTACTCATTTCTATTGAACAAGTGATATTAAGAGTAGTTATGGTTTCTATTCATGGTCCACAGGGGAAAAATCATTGAAAGACAAATGCTTAAGACAAGATCTTTTGATAAAGGAGTAGAGATAAAAGAAAAAATCCTCTAATAAACATTTGGAAATGCATTATGTATTATAGTTGGAAATATGTAGTTATAAGAGAAAAAGGAAAATAAAGACACTCTAATATTAAACATGTCATGATATTTAATTACAACTATTAGATATGTAAGAGATATAATATGGGTATTACATTTATCAAATTTATCATGTGATTATTATTAGACATTTTGAAATTTTTTATGTTAAGACATTCTAATTTTTCCTTTCCCCCAGTTATAATATCAAGTAACATTATAAACTTAAAATAATGATGTGATATTGTTTACACCACATTTGATAATTTTCTTAATGATGCCATATGTCCCTAATAGAAATCTAATGGCCACAATTTTTTCACACAATTGGAAATTCAAAAGATGATTAATAGCCATGATTTGGTGTGATGCAGTCCAAAGTAAGGAGAAATTCTAGTGTAATGAATTTTTGCCACGTGGTGGAAATCGAAGAGAGAAGGTTAGTGGTTCCACAAAATCAAGGAGGTTATTATTATTTTTTTTTTTTGAAAAAAAGTATAGTTGTATTAATAATTGAAAAAAAATTACAATGCAAATTATTCCTCGCCATATAGGCTAATCTAGAAAAAAGAAAAAAGAAAAAAGAAAAAAAAAAAGAGAAGCTAGGAAAGACCTATGACACTAACATATAGAGCTAAGTGCTCCATACAAATAAGACAATTAGGAACTGGGAACCTCTACATATCAATAGATGTCAAAGGGATATAATAGAGCTATGTAATGATATAAAAAGAATGCACCGGAGCTTTTTGACGTTACTAACAATCACATCTATTGTACCACTCAACCTAGCATAAAAGATCAATGGACTTGGCAATGTAGTGTCTCCCAGCATTATAATACTCTGTCCATCCAGAGGGACACTTAACTGGCAGGTGGAGGGAAAGGGTCCATCAATGTATCCTTAACACCAGTCGCCCCCGTATGAATCCTTTTCTTGGAAAAAAAAACTTTCCCACCAACTGCAGCTTTTCTGACCAAGAATCATCTAGTTTCCAGATTGATAGCAAGGGAAGAAAGCCATCTTCATCCTCTATAAGGTGAACCCGATTGAGGAATGTTTCAATTTCACCACTTTCCATCCCCAAATCACTAATGGAACTACCAAACCTCACCCCTTTATTCTGCCATAACCCACCCAAAACCGTTCACAACCGTCGCAACACTCTAAGTCACAAATCTGAACCCAGATCTGAGAGCACTCCCTAGACTTGAACAAAATGAGTCAAAATTGAGAGGAAAAACATGAAGACATAAGGGAAGGGCAAGCGTGAGGAGAAAGACAATCAATAGAGAAGAAAGAAGGGGCTTCTATGCCAGAGAGAAATCCCGAGGGAAAACCCTGCCGCCTTCAAAACCCTAGGGATTTCAAAGCACAAGAGAACGTTTTGGAACCACAAGGGATACACTTTTAAATAAGGGAGGTTATTGACATGGTGCTGAGTAGTTCAATTTAGTTGATAAAAATAAGAATTAGTTCCAACATGCCTAATTTTAGGGATTTTTGATAACTAGACTTCTATTTTTGGCAAACAAAATGCCATGTGAAAGAAATCTATTTTGCAATGAAAGATTCAGATTTATTGAGATTTCATTTGATTTGGTCAAGCTTGATAGCAAAGAAGTTGGAGAAAATCATGATCAAATCAAATTTTTGGCAATAAGATTCAATTAGGGAGACCCATAAATACAAGATTTCAAAACAAAGTTCAAAATAGTTGCCCTTCTCAACAACATCAACACTTCAATACGTCTTAGCTCAGCATTAATTAATTTAGTTCATTGAATGCTCATAAACGACTCTACAATTTCTTAGTGTAGAAGAGGTTCAATTCCCTCAACATGTTCTTTGTTTTTATTTTTTACGTGGTTAAGTTAGCTCCAGCAATTAAATTTAATATAGTTGTTTCTTCTTTTACTAGCACATTTCACATTTCTATCAGCAATTTGCATTTTTGTATATTTGTCTAGCTTTAGATTCTACTTAATTTGTTAGCAAATTTATGTTCTAGCCTTTAGTTGTAATTATTTTTTTTTTTTTTTAAGTTTTCAAGTAAAGATCTTAGTTTTGTTTGATTCATGTCAATAGCTAGTTCTTTACATTTCTGCCAACTTCAATTTACATTTCTACAAGCACTCTTAGTTTTCAATTCTAGTTGTGTTTTAAGATTTTGAACACTCTTTAGTTTAATGTCCTTTTGTTACTTGAGTTTTAGATCATCCTTTATTTCTGCCATGCACACATTTTCTCTTTTTCTTATTTCTACCAATTTTGATTAACAACTAACTTTATTGTGGCCCTAAATGTGGGAAGTCCTTGATGTTCTACCAAGGCAATTATTTTTGAACCTTCATGTAAGAATACACCCTCGTTTTTGCTACAATCATCTGGTCAAAGTATTATTGGTGTAATTTTTCAATCAAATGGCGTTCTTCCATCAACTTTTAAATCCCACACTTGGAAGCAGTAAAGGTCGTAAAAAATCCTTCTTTTTTGCTTTAAGCAAAACAAGTAACATGCTTGAATACTTCTACCACTAGTGGTTGAGAGGAGAAAATTTTAGAGGAAACAGATATATATATATATATGTATAATAGAGAACACTATAGGACAGATCGTTCTCCCCTTTTTTTTTTTTTTTTTTTGGAAGATCTATTTAAAAATCCACCTCCTAATTAATATTTTCAACATCTGATCGTTGGATTGAAAGTTTTATTAATATAAATCATGCATATCAATTTTTATTTTGATCTAATACTTATAACCTTTGATCAAAGAAATTCTATTTATTAACATATATTTAATGGTATTAAATTTCTTGTAAGCAACAAAGTAGTTAGACTTACTAGAACAATTTGAAAATTGACATACATAATATATATATATATATGAAGAAAATTTTTAATTCAATAGTTAGTTTTTGAAAATATTAATTAGAAAAAGATATTTTAAACAGGTTCTCAAAAAAAAAAAAAAAACATTTAGAAGGATGACTTGTAAAATACTTTTTTCTTATATAACATCACGCATGACTTTTTAAATAAAAGGAGTAAATTATATGATAATACCTTATAATTATAAAGTCATAATGCCATATAATATTATACCATAACTTTTTTCTATGGCAATCTTATCCCTAGAGAATCATATTTATCAATTACGTACCGCTTGTGTTTGGTTTCTAACCTTTCAAGGTTTGAGTCATGGTGATGTTTCATTTATCATGCCAACCAAACCAAAAGGCTTAACTAATAGCTAGTTACAATAAAAACACCAATTAAATTCAATATTAGAATCAACACATCAGCCTCAGACGAAAAAAGTCGCAAGTAATTGCCTTTTGTCTACGGGCAAAGTCTTAGTCGTTGAGCTTTAATTTCTGTGGGACAGGATAAGAGGGACAAGAAATGGTGTCTTTGGTCTGCCTGTCCTTCGGAGAAACACTCAAAACCACTGATTTCGGATAGAAATTGACATGTGAGTGGCCTTACTCTTCTGATGTCAAATGTATTGTGGTGTAGGAATGGCAAGTCTTTGTCACATTATTGGAAATGTGGTAAGGCCTGGGGCTTCGTTCCTTCCTTCTAATAGGACAAGGGCAAGCCCAAGCGAAGCTTCCCATAAACAAACCTAATATTCTCTTTCATTGGTCCCCAAATATGTAAATGTTGGATTCTGTCCTCTTAATTTGATGTAGAATTAACAATCTAATGTATTATCAACTTTTTTTTGACATAATTATTAAAAAAACGTATATGAGGAATTTTTGTTTGGGTAATGTAATTCCTTAAAAATGAGTAGATGAAAGCACAATTATCAAAATCTGAAGCTCCAAGGCAAAGGCAATCAATATGTTTAAAACGGAACTCTCTGCTTTATTATTCTTTATAAAGTTTTGCGCAAAATACATATTGGTTATAATTTGCCTATACCACAAAGTGCCAAAATTTCTTCCGACCCTTAATTTTTTTTTTTTTTAATTTCTGTTTCTTTAGTTTTATAGGGTTTGTTATAATTCTTTCTAGGTGTTTATTTCTTTTCTTTTGCAGGAGGGAAGAACAGGAAACTGAAGATGGTAGGAAGTAGAACCCTATCAAGTTGTGTGAGATTTGCGGCATAAAAGGGCTTTTCTCCTTGGAGGTTTGAATGATCTAGATGTTATAAGTCCCAACTATACATTTTGGGGTTCAGTCCATTAATCTTGTGATTCTTTTGTGGGCTATTCAAGTTGGAGAGCATCACTGGCAGAAGCAGAACTACTATTTGGAACAACAGTGCTAGTTTTTGCCTTGGACACAATAGTCATATCCCCTTGGACACAATAGTCATATCCTCCTATCAAACCAAGATGAAAACTCTGCACCTGATAATGTCCTTTCTCGTTGCAATTGTTGTCACAAATATATATAGACACGGGCATCATTTCAATATTGAGGCATTTGTATAGATATTGGAAGGTCAGTGTGTACTTCGAGATTAACTTTTATACTGGATTAGTGCATTCAAAAAATTAATTTCCTTAAATATGAACTTAAGACATAAACACTAAATTTGGCTTACAAGATGACACTGGCTAACAAATGGATCCAACCGTTGGGATTGAACCTTGCTCAAAGCTGGATCAATGGGGAAGAGGACGCGCCTCTCTGAGCTGGCTTCTGCACAAGCACGGCAAAATCAACCACATAGCAAAGAATGGAGCCTCTGTCGGTTTGAATCCTTCACCGAATTGAGTCTTTCGCGTGGTTAATTGAAGGATTTGAAACTAGAGTTTGGGGATGAACTTAGCCCTCCTCTGGCTTAAAGGAGAAAAACGGACACAAAGCGCATGACTTTTGAGAGTCTGATAATGTGGTCCTTTCTCTTTTCTGAATTTTCATTTTAGTCCCTGCAAAACACAATTAAAGTTCTATGAGTTTTCAATGAAATCCAAAATAGTAAAATCTTGTAATTATTTTGAAACCATTAAATCAAATATTCTACTTTCTCCAATCCAGCAATCATAGAAAAGGGAAGTTTGTCATCCATCACCAATCTGAACCTATATTTGATCCTTTACAAGCGATCTCACTTTCAAGATATGCCACCAAGAAGAAGAGCAATCAATAGGAATCTTCGCTCTCCAAATGTTCTCTTCCTTCAACAAACATGCTGAGCCCATTGGCACCCATAAGCTTGATTGTTTCGCACATATGGCCCGGACATGTTTACATATATAATGCCTTATTCCAACATATAAGTTGCTTGATACCTAACCCTCATTCAGATATTGGTACACAAGCATTTGCCCAAGCAACTAGAGCCATTGATGCTTGGTCCCACTTATACCAGTCCATATAAAGCAGTGTCAAGAAGTGTCACATATTCGAAGTGCCTCTTTTGGCCAGTAGGATATTTAGAACTTGCATGGCTAAGTCTTTGCCCCTACATTCTATCAGTAAACTACTTGTTTGCACTTGGTGTTAACTTTAAGATAAACAAAGACCTGACAGAATGCACAAACTTTCTTATACAAAAGGTCTCTGCTACAACTTGTAAGAATTGTCATCCGTTGTATGTTGGCCCAAAAAAAAAAAAATTAGAATGATTCTATCCATTTTTGGCAGTGTACAGGCATCACTTGTAGTCATAGAACAGATAGAGTTTTCGTTCTTTTGAATTCAACTGTTCCATTTTCTTGGTTATTCAATGAGAATGGCCTCAAGCGGCTAATAACTTGCACTGTATCTCACTCGACTCTCCCTAATTGTCTAAACAATTCTACCATCCTTGAATTGCTAATAAAGAACAGTAAAATCTCAGAAGATTTTGCAATTTTCAAAATTCGATGTCTCTCAAATGGTATTCGTAGAAATGTTGTTAATTAGGTTTTTTTATTATTATTAATAATTCTAATTAGTTGTTTATGGACTAATACAAATAGATGACTCACCGTGGCATTCACACCATTCTTGGCAACATGCATCATTTAAAGGATTGAAAAACTGAATAGATTAGATGGAAACCACCACTACTTACTTGAATTAAGTCCAGTGAAGCCACTTGGAGATTGTTGGAATTTTTGGAAAAAAGGGGTAGATAAAGAGCACTTTGAGGAGAGTAGGAGAAAAGTAGAACTTAGAACATGATATAGAACATAAACATGGAAGGGTGTAGACATTTACCCAACTAAGGAGGAAAGGAGAAGTTGTTCTCCAACTCTCACATTTCTGTTAACATCTCTGCCCATTTATAGCAGAAAACTTTCACCATAAAAATAATATTCTCTACTTGCTTTCCACGATTATGGCTACATGTGTCTACAAAATCTATTCTAATATTTAAATCAAAGATTGTAATATGTAAACTTAACATAAAAAGTACATTGAAACACTATCACATTACTGCACTTTCAGTTGATTAATTTGCAACCTCCATTTGCTGTTTTGTGGCAGCAACATCACAGCTTTGATGACACTCCTCCAACAGAAATATCTTCAGGGGACAGTACGACAAAGAAGAAAAAATCACAAAGTAATGTGCAAGATTAGTCATGAACATGATTATTGAACATGACTTGCCACAGCTTATTCTAGAAGTAGACACATTTTGGCGAAATTCTTGTACTCAAATTCAATTATTAAAATCAGATACAACAAAACTTGAGAAAGCAACTTTTTTTTTTTTAATGCAAATGGAAATTTCATTAGCTAAAATTAAGTTCTACAAAATGAGGTTTGAGAAAGCAACTTTACAACTACTATTTATTTAACTTCACAAATTACATCAATTGGAATTTGGAAAGGCAACTTTCTTTTCCTAAAACAAAAAGA